TGGAAATTTATTTATTTATTTTAAAAAAAAAATTTTTTTTCAACGTTTTTATTTATTTTTGGGACAGAGAGAGACAGAGCATGAACGGGGGAGGGGCAGAGAGAGAGGGAGACACAGAATCAGAAACAGGCTCCAGGCTCCGAGCCATCAGCCCAGAGCCATCAGCCCAGAGCCATCAGCCCAGAGCCATCAGCCCAGAGCCTGACGCGGGGCTCGAACTCACAGACCGCGAGATCGTGACCTGGCTGAAGTCGGACGCTTAACCGACTGCGCCACCCAGGCGCCCCGGAAATTTTTTTAATTAAGGTAGCCTGCGTGGCTCAGTTGGTTGAGCTTCTGAATCTTGACCTCGGCTCAGGTCACGATATCATTATATGTGGGTTTGAGTCTCAAAAAAAGTTAACAAGATTTTTTTTCACTTGTAATTAAAGCAGTGAGCAAAGCATTGTCAACTTGCAAAAATAGAGGGCTAATGTCTTAGTCTCCAACATCTTATTTTTTAATTCATGTTAATTTTTAAACTTTAAAAATGATTTCTTTTTAGAGAGAAGGAGAGGGGAGGGTCAGAGAGAGGGAGAGTCTCAAGCAGCCCCTCCAATGTCAGCACAAACATATTGTGGGAAATTTTATACCAACAGAAAAATCAGGATCTGAGCTGAAATCAAGAGTCAGGTGCTTAGTTGACTGAGCCACCCAGGTACCGCTAATTTCGATTGATTTTTAAAGATGTTAAGTAACTTCTGCACAGACCCACGACTCAGATATCAAGAGTTGCATACTCCCCTGACAGTGGCAGCTGAGTGACCCTAGTTTTTGTTTCTTTTAAAATTTTAATGGTTATTTTCGAGAGAGAGACACACAGAGTGCAACTGGGGGAGGGGAAGAGAGTCAGGGAGACACAGAATCCGAAAAAGGCTCCACGCTCTGAGCTGTCACCAAAGAGCCCGACGTCGGGCTTCAAATCGTGAATCGGGAGATTATGACCTGAGTCGAAGTTGGACACAGCCAAGTGAGCCACCGAGGTGCCGCTGTTTTTCATGTTTTGCTCAAAGTGCCACCACACACATTATTTCAAGGAAAACTGCGGCTGCACTGCCCCACCCTGATTCTTACTTCCCTCCCTACCCGATGCGATAGTGTTCTAACCGTTTTGGCCCCTTACTTACCTGCTAACTCACGTGTGCCCAGTGTGAGCCCTGGCACATCCACTTCAGATTTACCCAGTGGCATCTAGGTAATAAAGCGATAGTTATTGCACAGCCACGTGGATTACAAGGACAATAGAAAGGGCTCACGGTGTCACCGTATGCCCCGGGATTTACACGTGAACTCACCCACTTTCTGGGAATTCTACGCCCTGGGTTATATCAGGGTATGCATCAATGATTAAGTGACCATGTGGGTTGATACTGGTGGAAGATGGGTGATGGATTCATGAGGGTTTACTGTACATCTTCCTTTGGCATTTGTGCAGAAGATTCTAGAATAGAAAATGTTAGTAGTTGTTTAGGGATCCCATCCATGCGATAGATGGTCTCAGCCTGGAAAGACTGCTCCCTGGCCCTCACTTTGGAACGTAAGG